ACATGTGAACCTAACCAGGTTACTTTGCTTTTAGTTGGAATCATATTAATTAGTTAGAACCAAAGATTAATGGTTGAGATGTCTTTGACACATAAAAATAGAGAATAAACTATTGCTTAGGAAACACATTTCTGCAGATAGCACCATTTAAAATCTATGTATAGAAAAAGGAATGAAAAACAACCAAGACATTTTGTTTAGAAGAAATGAAAGCTATTTTTCAGAAGAGAAATCACCTTAGATCAATGCCATCCACCATCCCTCACCACCAAACACGCAGTTACTGACTCCACTGGCTCAAATATGCAACGATTCTACTTTTCAAATATTCTACTAAATCACTTCTTTTTTCTCAATTTTTCTTTATTTTTTTAAATTATATTTTTGACAATCTTGACACAGTTAACCAGGCTAAGTCACTTCTTTAAGGAACTGCCACTCTATTACACACAGTTCGAAGTCTAAGACTGAAAACTGTAGCAGTTTACCAACCCTCAACCTCAACCCCATCTGCATCCCCACTAATCACCACTCTATGTAAATTGGAGATCAAGACCACGCCAATTTATTCTCTTCTTGCATTTCCCTCACCTAGCCATATATTAATCTTCAGCACAGACACAAATGGATGAAAAACTAAATGGAGACAATTCATCTGACAGCCCAGGAGAAGCAAGCAAGCCCCAAGACAGTAGCAGGCTTCTTGTTCTCGTCCTTTCTCCATCCTGCTTGTTCAGTTCTTCCCTATCTAGTCACTTAACATTGTGTAACAAAGATCTGCCTGGCTTTTTGTCTTCATTTCCTAGGAGGTAAATGCTAAACTCTTCAAATGTTCCCAGTGATAAAACTATCTTTCTTATTCAGGGTGGTTCCCTTGAATCTCTCTCAAGCTCATAATAATGAGATTGCTCAGGATGAGATCCAGTAACTAGAAAAACTAACCAGATTTTAAAAAATAATAATTGGACTTCGAACCTGATGATACCAGCACAAGCATTGGAAAAACATATGGAGCTGATGACTGAGTTAAGTCATTTGGCCAATGATTCCATCAACTGTGTTTATACGATGCAAACTGAATAAAAATCCTGAACACTTTTAAGTTTGGAGCTCTCTAGTGTCGGTGGCATGCTGCATTCACATTCCACAGACATAATATACAGCAGTGCCACATCTAGAACCCTCCCAGATCTCACTACATCAGTCTATAGCTTGTCCTGATTTGCACTTTTAAATAAAGATCCAATCCCAAATAGAGGGCTTTCTTGAGTTCTCCGGGAAGTCCTACCAAATTGTTTTTTGTTGTTGTTATTTTGTTTTGTTTTTCTTGTTTTGTTTTTTAATCTTTATTCTAGTCCTGCCAAATTGTTAAACCTGAGGGATCATGGGAATCCTCAGATGCATAGGCAACTGATCAAAGCAGGTGACCTTGGAATATACAGCCACGGCTAGTATATGAAGTAAGGACAATCTTGTTGAGAACTGTGCCCTTTAGTGTGACATCAGTGATGTTTATGACAAAAATGCATTTGTTACTTCTCTTTTACTCATGTTACTCAAACTAAATAGAGATAATCACAATATTTACAGCTCATAATATTTTTCTGTTAAATGAGATAATCTAACTAAAAGACCTAGAAGAGTTCCTATTACATATTAAACAAGGATGCTAGTGTTTCAATTGTTTCTATTATTAAGGTCCAAAGCTGGCTTATGTAGAGATTAATAGGTTTTATTTGCCAGAATCTAAATGACAGAGAAAAAGGCTGGCATTATCTCATAAACAACTAAACTGTTGGCTGTGTCGCCAGCATCCCATATAGATGCCAGTTCTGTCTGCTACACTTCCAGCTCAGGACCTTGCTAATGCACTTGGGAAAGCAGTGGAAAATGAGCCAAGGGATTGGGTTCTTGCAACCTGGACAGAATGGGCTTCTCTGCCTGCTTGGAAAGGCAATCACTAGATGGTAGTATAGATGGTAGCAAGCTTTGTCTCTCTCTTCCTCTCTCTCTTCCTCTGTCTCCACTTCTCCTTTTGCCTCTCCTGCCCTCATGCCCTCTTCCTCCCTACTTCCCTCTTACTCTGTTTTCAAATAAGTAACTCTTTAAAAATTAAGTAAAATACCAGAGAGAAAAAAACTAGTTCCCCAACATTAGTTAGAAAATGTTAACACTAATCACCCAGATGATACTAACATTACCCAGCTAATGCAATGTTCCAAAGACAAATGACCACTGCTCATATCTGCATCATCTAGCTAAACTCAAGCAAGCCAGTTTGCATTAGTGCCAAGATATTACAAGCTTTTTGTAGCTCCATAAATCACCTCACGAGAGACTAGGAACCTTATTCTGAATAATGAAGCAAACCATTGGGAAGAATAGAAAACAAGATTAACACTAAACATCAGGTATAACACATGGCAAACAAAAACTAAAAAGGTGTATAAATACAAATAACACTTCCCAGGTCTCACCTGTAAGCACTATTACTGTGCACTAAGATGTTTTTTTTTTTTTTTTCTCATAGCTAATGGGAACCTCTTCCTCCAAAAATTTCACTCAATTGACTTCCATTTCCCTGTAACTTAAAATACACTGGAAGTGTTCCAAATAGTTGTTGAGTCCAGAAATAAAGTTCTAACCAGAAAATTGCCTGCAGTTGTTTTCTAGCATCATGATTTAGTCCCTCTATTTCTGTCTTGGTCACTTTCCCTTCCCAGCTACTTCTGTGTGAACTTTCAGAAAAGGCCAGGAATGAACTCCCTGCCGTATTTCATTCTAAGTCCCTACTTACGAAATCAACTCTCAAAAACCAGGCATCTTATCCTCATGTCATTAGAGAACAAGAAGACAATCAAAATTAAGTGGCATTGATGGAAAGTTTTGCCTGGCAGTGCTGGTCTAATTCCAAAGTGCATGTCACTCCCTCAGCTCTCATTAGTAGACAGCTTGACTTGTGTAAGAACTATTTAAAAAAAATCCCCCACAAAAAACTTGGCTCTAAAGATTTCCAGGAAGCTCGCTCGCTCATGCTCTCTCTCTCTCTCTCTCTCTCTCTCTCTCTCTCTCTCACACACACACACACACACACACACACACACAGTTTTCTCATGTGTCCTCTAAACTGATAAAACAAAGTTAACAAGAAGCAGCCTGCTCATCGCAGTGCTAGGATTAGAATGCTAGTGGGTTAGGCATTTGACCTAGAGGTGAACACACTCACATTCACACTGGAATGCCTGGGTTGGATTCTTAGTTGACTCCTTGCTAGTGCAAATCCAGGGAGACAGCAGTGACTGAGTTCCTATCACTCATGTGGAAGACCTGGATTGGAATTCCAGCTCCAACTTTCAGATCCTCGTCTGGGAACTATGGTGGGCAACGGCAAGTGAACCACCAGTTGGGATCTCTCTCATTTGCTCACTCCTGCTCACTCTACCATTTTATCTTTCAAATAAATTTTTAAAAAAATTGTATATAAGGCATTCCTGATTCAAATTTAGTGATTACTACTCACATTACACACAATTCCTCTGAAACCTAAAATTTTTTAATCCTAAATAAGAACCTAAGCAGCAGTCTTTTCTACTATCAGACCAGTACTTTCAACTAAGAAAGCACTGGCCTGTGGAGCAGAAGGCCCACATTTAAATCCTGGCACTACTTACTGCAGACATTAAAAAAATAACTTTGTAAGTCAAGACCTAAAGTTCTTCATCTGAAAGCCAGGAACCCTTGTGGTAATTTTATATTTAACTCATTAGTATCAGGAGCTACACTAATATATCTTCAAAACGATTTATTTGAAAGGCAGTTACACAGAGAAAAAAAAGGGGACAGAGAGTATGACTGGTCTTCTATCATTGGTTCACTACCCAAAATAACTGCAATCGCCATTACTGAGCCAAGTCAAAGCCAGGAGCTGGAAACTCCATCTGAATCTCCAATGTGGTGATAGGGGCCTAAGTACTTGGTCTATCTTCTGTTGCTTTCCCAGGTTCATTAACAGGGTGCTGGGCCTGGAGCAAGGAGCCATGATTCCCACCGGCACTCCAAAATGGAATGCCAGGGTTGCAGGTGGCAGTTTAACTTATTGCTCTACAATGCTGTACCCTGTCTCCAATCTTGTTGGCATTAAAAAAGTTATTAACCATAGAGATAAATGGAGAGAAGGCTAAAAGTCTGCTTTTTCCTTCTATAACACGTCTCATACAACGACACACGATGTTCCAATCAGAATTTTTTTTTTAAAATGCTCTAGGAAAAAAGTAGTAGTTGTGGTTTAGCAGCTTTAAATATAAAAAAAATCTATAGTTTTCATTAAGTTCACAATGAGTTAGCAGAATGATATGAATACTGAAGGCACTATCTATCTGCAATAGCAGATATACAGGCTAAGAAGTAAAAAGTTGACAATTGTATTCTAATGACTAAGTCACACTTGGGAATCTGTGTCCAACTCCAGGATCTGAAAAAGGCATTAACCAATGTGTTTACAGTAAGGAAATCATGCTGAGAAGGAGAAGGAGACAATGTTTCCTTTGAAGAACTAGGACAATTTACCTGAGAAAAGACAAAGACTCAGGAAAAAACTCCTCTGTATTTCTAATCTTTGCATTGTTCAACACTCAGCCGAGCGGAGGTAAGTAAGAAGCAGTGAAGGGTGCCTCAAGAGCTCCTCCTCCCTACCACTGGAGATGAAGCAGGTGAAGCTGGGGGACTCAGATGGCAGAGGGGATAGGCTGAGAAGAGTTGGCACAGCACCTAATTCAAACACATTTGGACGAAGAATATCTCTGTCACTGGGAAACCTTCTCCCATTCCTGGCTTCATAATGATAGTCAGTCTTATTTGGTGACTTTTTACAGAATAATTTCAATAATTTTCTCTTTATTAAGCATTTCATATTCACCACCTTTTAAAGCCAAGCTGCTACCCATCTTCTTTCTTCTCTGAACCTTGTAGCAACTAGGATTGACAAACAGGTTGCCTCTTACCTTCTGAGGACTTCCATGCTTTCCACAGGTCTTCCACACTGATGAGCTTATCCTCACCATGGAAAGTGCTATGTTTCACTGTTGGGTCGTGATAATTAAGGTCTTCCCTCAGGAACTGCAAGACAAAAGCAAACAAGTCACAAAAGGTAACTGGGAGCCAGTCCATCAAGATCAACATACAGGTCATATGCCTCTAGTTAACCAGTCACATACATTCTAACTACTCAAACAAGTGTATCTTATCATTCATGGTTTGCCCCCATAAGCATATGTCTGACTTGCCAAGCAGACTACCTGTTCTTGCACATGTCACTATATATATATGTATATATATATGAACATATATATATGTACATATATATGTATATATATATGAATTAGAAATTCTTTTCTCTTAATTTTTAAATTATGGAAAGATAACTAAAACAGGTTAACTAGAATTTGGAAAACTTGAAGAGGTTAGAAAGAGGAGACAGGGCCCAGCATGGTGCCCTAGTGGCTAAAGTCCTTGCCTTTAATGCACCAGGATCCCATATGGGTGCCAGTTCTAATCCCGGCAGCCCCACTTCCCATCCAGCTCCCTGCTTGTACCCTGGAAAAGCAGTCGAGGACGGCCCAAGACTTTGGGACCCTGCACCTGCGTGGAAGACCCGGAAGAGGTTCCTGGTTCCCGGCTGCGGATCACCACAGCACCTGTCGTTGCAGTCACTTGGGAATGAATCATTGGATAGAAGATCTTCTTCTCTGTCTCTCCTCCTCTCTGTATATCTGACTTTCTAATAAAAATAAATGAACCTTAAAAGAAAGAAAGAAACCTGCCCCAAGGAGAAGACTCTGCTAACCAGAAGTACAATGATCAAGAACAAAAGAAGAAACAGAAGCACAATGAATATTACTGAACATTCCCCTGCAAAGGAACAAAACCGTTTGCCAATCTCAGAGTTCACTGAAGAAGACATCCAGAAAATTGGGGATATAGAATTCAAAACAGTTGTTATAAAATTTCTTATCAACAATGAGAAGTACATAATACAAAAGTTTAAGGAATTTTAGGAACATGTCACACTGGAAATGAATCAAATGAAAGTTGATATATCAGAAATGAAGAATACAGTGGTGCAAATTAAAAGTATAGTAGAGAGTCTCCAAAATAGAATGAAGGAAGCAGAAGAAAGAATCTCAGAATTGGAAGATATTTCCTGTCACCAAGAGGAAACAAACAAAAAGCTGAAAGCAGAGCTGGATTAAGCTAAAAAAAAAAAAGTATTCAAGAATTGAAAAACACTATTAAAAGGCCAATTATAAGAGTTATAGGAGTCCCAGAAGGTACAGAAAGAGAAGCTGGGTTTACAAATGTGTTTAATGAGATAATAAGGGAAAATTTCCCTAATCTACAGAAAGAATTGGTAAACAACATCCAGGAGGAGCACAGAACTCCCAACAGGCTTGAGCAAAAGTGATCTTCACCAAGACACAGGATAATCAAGCTCTCTTTAATCAAACAAAAGGAAAGGATCCTTAAATGCGCATGTGAAAAAAAAATCAACACACATATAAAGGAATGCCAAATAAACTCACAGGAGACCTCTCACAGGAAACTCTATAGGCCACAAGAGAATGCAGTGACATACTCCAGATTATAAAAGAAAAAATTGTCAGCCCACGATAACACACCCAGCAACTTTCCTTTGTCTTTGAAAATCAAATAAAATTCTTCCACAGTAAAGAAAAGTTACAAGAATATGCCTCTTCCAAACCTGCCCTACAAAGGATACTTAAAGATGTTCTCTTGACAAAGAAAAGGAATAGCGACCACCAAAACCAAAGGCAAATGCAAAGAACATGCCAATAAAATGACAACAGAAGACTAAATCAATGAACAATCTATTGCTAAAATGACAGGACCAAATTACCACCCATTCATATTAACCCTGAATGTAAATGTCTTAAACTCATCAATCAAATGTCACAGATTTGTAGGTTGGATTAAAAAACAAAACCCTTCTTTTGTTGCCTACAGGAGACACATTTCACCAACAAAGATCGGTGGAAACTATATCTCATGGATTCTGATTTTTTTTTAATTTAGTTTATCTCTTCAAAACTCCTTCTCATTAAAATTTTCACTGGATCATAGATAATACAGCAGCATCATTTTCTTTTAGAAGGTTCTTGATTTTATTTTCATTTCTTCAGCGACACATTAGTCATTCAGTAGCATGCTATTTTTCTTCCTGTTGTCGGTTTTATATTGTGGCTTTTTATTTAAGGCGATTTATTGTAACTGTGTAATGGAGACTATCATATCCAGATGTGAGCATACAGTGCAGTGTGCATCTCTACTTCTAGACAAAGATGGACTCCCAATGAAACTGTTTATTATATCTTGACAATAGGATGCTGGACTTTCTGCCATTTTCCACACCTGCAACAATGGACATATCATTGTTTATGAAGAACTATAAAATAGTAATAATATAGGGGAACTGAGTGGGTGGGGGGATTTGGGAATTTAGGGGAGGGGATAATGGAAATCCCAGGACCTATGGAACTGTATCATAAATTGAAAAAACAATTTTAAAAAATAAAAAAAGGAAATGAAAAGAAAATTTACCTACAAGAATGATAGATAAATAAATAGCCCCCAAACTGATAGTCAATATAAAACAAAGACATCCAGCTAGTAGCTAAAGGTTATACTAGCTTAGATTCAGTATAGAGAACAATGGTTTGAGATTTTTACTTTAAAACCAAGTTGCCTGGGCTTGAATCATTATGGCTACTACTTACTTTCAATGTATCATGCACATAATTTGTAAAATAGAAATAACAGTAATAAAAAATAAAGACTTCATCATATCCTCATATTGGGAGTTTTGTTAGTGAGTTAATTCGTATAGATAGCTTAGATGTTGTGGTACAGCAAATAAACCCATCACCTGCAATGCTGGGTATCCCACATGGCTATCAGTTATTGTCCTGGCTATTCCATACCCTACTCAGCTCCCCACTAATGGCTTGAGAAAAGCAGCTGCAGATGTCCCTGGTACTTGGGCCCCAGCCACCCATGTGGAAGACCTGGATGAAATTCAGTCTAGCCAATTACTGGTCCTGTCTCCCACTTGGGAGACCCAGTTGGTCCTGGCTTAGCCCTGACCCAGCCCCAGTTATTGCAGCCATCAGTGGAAATGAACCAATGGATGGACAACATCTCTCTCTCACCCACTCTCGTGTGTGTGTGTGTCTAACTCTGTAACTCTGATTTTCAAATAAACAATCTCTAAACATTTTTTAAAAGAGCCAGCACAACATAATGAGTGCTGGTTTTCTCTGCACACCCCTCCTAAAATTGTTCTGCACCTAAACTGCTGACATATGTCTTGTTAGAGTTATAAGCCAGTCTAGACTACCCGAAAAACAGCCAGGTTCAGCAAAATTATGCTTCAACGCTATGAAATGCTAAATACTATAATGAAAATAGACACGAGACAGCTGAATAGTAATCTATAGCCATTTTAAGGTGTAAAGAACCCGGTTGTATATAAACTAAAGTTGAAATGTCAATGAAGAAGTCACAGGATGTGGGTAAGAACTTGCATTTTTTTTTAACATATTGGTTACTCAATACTATGTCAATTAAGTCCATAACATTATAAATTGTTGTTGATGTTATGTTGGGGCTTTTAATGGATCAGGATGATACTCTGCCGGTTCTACCTTCAGACCAGAGATAGTCTCCCCAACAAGCCGTTGAACATATCTGGACAATAAGATGCTGGACTCTATGCTTGGTATATGCTTGCAATGAAAGAATCTCAACTGAGCTTGAACTGTGGTAATGCAACAAGGTGGAGGAATCCACCATGGGGGGAAGAGTTTAGGGAGGGGTGGGGAGGATCCCAGTACCTATAAAACTGTGTCACATAATGCAATGTAATTAATAAAAAAAAATATATGAGTTCTGCTTCAAGTTCCAACTACTTCACTTCCAATCCAGCACCCTGCTTATGACCTGAGCAAGTAGTGGAGGTTGCCCCGAGTCATTGGGCCCCTGCAACCACATGAGAGATCTGAAGAAAGCTCCAGGCTCCTGGCTTCGGACTGGCCCAGGTCTCTCTCTCTCTCTCTCTCTCTAAAGATTTATTTTATTTTTATTGGAAAGTCAGATATACAGAGAGGAGAAGAGACAGAGAGAAAGATCTTCCATCCGATGATTCACTCCCAAGTGACCGCAACAACATGTGCTGCACTGACCCGAAGCCAGGAGCCAGGAACTTCCTCCAGGTCTTCAATGCAGGTGCAGGGTCTCAAGGCTTTGGGCTGTCCTCGACTGCTTTCTCAGGCCACAAGCAGGGAGCTGCATGGGAAGTGGGGCTGCCGGGATTAGAACTGACACCCATATGGGATCCTGGTGCATTAAATGCAAGGACTTTAGCCGCTAGGGCACCATGGCACCAGGCCCAATCTCTCTCTTTTTTCTCTTTCTCCTTCTCTCTGTAATTATGTCCTTCAAATAAAATAAATCTTAAAAAAAAATAAAGACCTAGATCAACCTAGATCAAAGTATCCAAACTAGCCAAAAACTACTGGCTAGAAAACCTCTGTCTTTTCATAAGATGACAGAAATATATCACTAATTAGAACATATTTCCCCAAAGACATGCTTTTTTAAATTAGGGCCAGTACCATCACATTTACATAGGATGAACACATGGCACTGGGTAGACTGAATCATAAGAAATGACATTTATAAAAATTGATGCGTTAGGACTTCAAACTTGAAGCAAGAGAAGCTGCATTGAGTTTCTACTGACTCTGATGAAGATCATTTTTCAAAAACAACCATTAAACTTCTCTAGAAGTGGTCTTGGGGGCATACGGCAAATGCAGAAACAACTGTTAAAGAGAATGTATTAAAATTTGATAAGGACAGCAAGAGACTATAGTATTTGAACTAAAACCTGCTGCCTTCCTCCCCTCTCCCAATCCCATGAGACAGAAGCGCTACTTCAGAATGGTACAGTCAAGGGCACAGAGATTCCTCCCACCACTAAGCTTCCAGTTCAAGCATTAACTGCCCAAGAAAAAGGCAGAACATCAACCTTGTACATCTTG